CCTGTATCTCACTCATTTTCAAAAAAAAAAAAAAAAGAATTTGGAAATGAGATTTTCATATCTTTGCCAGGGAATTTTCTATTTCATCTAAATTGTCAAATTTAGGAGCAAAAAAATTGTTTCTGCTACATCCTTATTTTTTTTAAAAAAAGAACATTTACTAAGCTTTAAGCTGACAAGGACAATCCAAAGGCAAAGACATATTCACATGAGAAGACTGTCAGCTTGAGGCCATGATGGTGTGCAAAGCTTTGTGGATCTACAGGGCTTTGACAGGACATGGGAATAGTTTCATTCCACGCACTATGGAAACTGCTATAAAAAAAGACACAAGAGGTCAAAGAAAACTCTGACAAATGTATGGTTGGCAACAGATTAATACATCATATTTACAGGTAGAATTACTGAAGTGGCGAGTTTGTCAGCAGTTTTTATGGTAAACTTAGGTGCCTTGGCTGATATTTGCTCAGCTTATATTTGAGTATATGCAGTACTATGTCTCAGGGCAAAACTATTCACATTCTTATTCACACCATTGACTAATGGTCAGAGTGAATTTAATAGAGGCTTAACCCATGTGGGGACTCTGCAAATGGATTTTGGGCTTTCACTGTCATTCATATTCTTCTGCAAACCAGGTGCTCAGAATTTAAGCTCTAATACAGGTTCCTCCCCTGATCATGGATTTTATTATTTTTAATCCTTGTTTTACAGAGGCTGATGTGCTTCTTTTGTATGAATAGGTGACAGCTCTCTATGAGATAACTGCATATTTTATGACAATCCTTTAAGACCCCAGACACTATTCTTTCTGATAGATAAGCACTATCTGATTTCTTCACCACACTTCTGTCTATGGCACCCATATTATCATTGACCCTTATGAGGGCAAGCATTGAGCAGGACTACATAATATAAGAATGAAGTGCTTTTAGATTAGGACTTGCAAATGAGTGGCAGCTCACTTTATATATGTACCACTTTAGAGGCAGCTTCTTGGGAGATAATATAAGTAACCTCTATGGAGCATTTGGTAATTCTAATAATAATACCATTAATCTATCCAATGATAAAGAATTTAAAATACTGTTATCAAAGAAAAATACTAGATTTTATGCTAGAATAAATGGAATCTTCACTTATACAGATTAAAAATTTAAGTGACTGAACACTGCTTAAGAAAACAATGGTTAGACAAAAGGCAAATATTTCAGTAACACTTATTTACTAAGGCAAAATTATGTCTGAAGAATTAAAACAGTTCACAATAAGCAAAGATAATATGAAACTAGCCAATATATGGTGGCCTTAATTCTTTATCAATTACTGGGCAGCCTCAAAAATACGAGGTTTGAACAAAGTCCAATGACTTTAGGATATCAGTCTTCTGCTTTTGCTCACACTAGGATGTATCAACTTGAATTCCAAAGACTATTTCAGCCCTTTAATCTGTAACAGATGTGTTTAAGGTGAAATCTGGTTCACTTAGTGGGATTTCCAAATTGGATCCTTCTGGTGTGGCCTATGAAGAATGTTGTACATCTCAAATAGACAAAATCTAAAATCCAGGTAGCCTGTAGCATGAGGCCACAACAGTGGTTGGGGGACTAACATAAATGAATGCCTGACCTGAGAACAGATGCCTGTCTTGGTTTTGGTGCCTGTCCTTCGAGTAGAACCCTCATGCAATAATCGTTGTTTTGTGATTGACTGACTTCACTCAGCACGATGTTCTCCAGGTCCATCCATGCCATGAGGTGCTTTGTAGTTTTACCATTTTTTAAAAGCGATCTGTTGTATTCTGTTAGGTGCATGTACCAAAGCGTCTTTATCCATTGTTCTATTAATAAACTTTTGGGTTGTTTCCAGCTCTTTGGTTTCGTGAATAGTGTAAAATGATGGCTCTTACATTTTTAGGGTATATATCTATTTCCAGTTGTTTGAGGGAGCTCCATATCACTTTTTGCAATGGGTGTACATATTTACAGACCACCAGCAGTGTACGAGAGTCCCAATCTTTCTGCACCCTCTCCAGCATTTGCTATTTATTTTAAATTGGGCTGTCGTTTTAAGGAGATATTTTATCATTATTTTAACTTTCATCTCCCAGATGGCTAGTGATCATGGACATTTTTTCATGAGTTTGTTAGCCATTTGAATGTCATTTTAGGTGAACTTGTCCCTCCTCTGTGGAGTTGGTGGGTAATTTCAAACCGCTGACCTTAAGGTTAGCAGTGCAATGCATAACCACTATAAATTGATAGTGTCATTAGTTTATCCAATTGTATAGAATTTAAAACAGTGTTGCGAAAAGTAAGGTATATGAGTGTAGGCCAGATATGAACTGCAATAAATGAATTGTTGACTTGTATAGATTAACTCTAAGTGACTGGACACTATTTACATAAACAAGGGCTGCTGATAGGGCCAATCTTCCAATAATATTCATTCGCAACAGCTGAGCCACACAGACCAGATTAATACATGTCCTAACAAACCAAGGAGGGCATTAAAATAGAAAGTATATGGTGGTTCTGGGCCACTAGTCATTGGACACCTTGCAGGCAAGTGAAGGGAACTAAAGTCCAACACCCACCAGTTCTATGTCCTGGAGCTGGTACTCACATGCTCCTCCTCACAGTAGGGAGTTTTAGCCTTAAGTCAAGTGCTACAAGTGAGTTTGAGATAAAGCTCAGTTCACTTAATGGATATCCATATCAAATCCCTTTGGTATGAAGGGTGTTGTGCATCTCAAAAGAAGAGTCTAAAGTCCCAGTAGTCTAAAACGCATGGGCTGGATCACCAGGGTTGCATAGAAACTAGATCAAACTTTTCTAATTAGGAACTTAGTACCAGGCATATTCTCCCTTTGGGTTCCACATAGATATTGTTAAGTGTTTTTTTCCCCTGAGAGGAGGTTGCTTTTTCCCAGTTTCCTACTAACAGAGATGTAATCTTTTAATGTATCTTTTCTGATAATGCTGTTTTCTTTCTTGATATTACTCATTTATGTCTTTTTAAAATCTTGGTCAATCTGGCTAGAAATTTATCTATTTTATTGATCTTTAAAATTTTTTTCTGGAGTTTTAAAGGCTTGAAGGTAAACAAATGGCTATCTAGCTCAGAAGCAACAACACGCACATGGAAGAAGCATACCAGCCTGTATGATCACGAGTTGTCGAAGGGATCAGTTATCAGGCATCAAAGAACAAAAAATCATATCATTGTGTGCTCGCCTGCCCGATATGATCACTGAAGACAAATGTGTGCATAAGTAAATGTGGTGAAGAAAGCTGATGGTGCCCAGCTATCAAAAGATATAACGTTTGGGGTCTTAAAGGCTTGAAGGTAAACAAGCGGCCATCTAGCAGGGAAGTAACAAAGCCCACATGGAAGAAGCA